CCGCTCATCTTGAGCTGTGCCCTCCGTCTTGGGGACTTTTGGACTTCTCTCTCGTCGTCCCTTTCCTTTGCCAATTTTTGTTTTATTCTTATTTCACCACGGAAGGCCCACTGAGCTATATAGTTATTTTTCAGAAGCGACCTGGCGGCAAATGATAGCTCAACGAAGTGGCTTATCATTTGGAAATGTATAGCAGCCAATTACTCTAATACGCATGTTGATTCTAAATGTGGAGTGGAAACCCGGAGGACCCGGGGAAAAATCCACGCAACCACGGGAAGAACATGCAAACTCCAAATATACATGCGTCCGGGTCGTGATCAAACCCACGAACATCCTGCATACCAGGTGAGGAAGTAAACATCTCCCCACAGCGGCGCCCCATTCTCTCTACTCATCGTCCTGTGGTGTTCCGCGAGTAAAAACATGTTTATATATTGCCTACACTGTGCAGAGTATGCAGAAAAGACTATAACACTGGCACGAGATATACAGCGAACAGTTAAATGAAGGAACGGAAGGCATGGGCGTGTGTGTGCGTGAGTCACGCACGCTGTCAGCCACGTGGCCTTGAAAACAGTGGCGCTCCGTGCGTGGTGCTGGCCACCCACCCCCTCGTGTGCCGTGCCGGCCTTCATAGGTGCTACTCGCTCACAGCACTTGCCCCAACAGTCTGTTAAGGCTACACGGAGGATTCATATTCTTGGTTCTTTCGGTAAAGTCACGTAGATAGAAAATAAAAAAGCAAAAACCACGACGTTTCGATCGCAACACAAGCGGTCTTCTATTTTATATCTACGTGACTTTACCGAAAGAACCAAGAATATGAATTCCTACAGTCACGAAAGTTTTAAGTCAACATTTTTACACGGGGAATCTTAGTCTTTGCTCCTGACCCCATCGGGGGCCCGACGCAGACATTGTTTTTTTATACTCCCCTTTCGATTTATAAACGCCCGGTGAGATGACAGAATAGATGTAGATAAGAGGCAGAGATCTAGTGATATGAGAAAAGAGAAACAGACGAGACGGAATTGCTGTGATAAGAGAGAGATGAGATGTAGACACGAGTCAAAGATGGGAGTTAGAGGAGAGACAAGGTAGGGATGATCGAGATGTACCGCATTGGCTTTTTAATATTAATCGTCTAGTTGTGTTGAATGGGATTTGAATTTAAGCTGATATTTGTTCACCCCTATTCTCATGAACCAGTGGGCCTCATTGGCTGCTTGAGGCCCCTGTGCGTCCGCTTGTTTGTCTCGAGCCGAGTGCGGCTCCCGTCACGGGAGGCGTCACGAACGCACACTGACATGGGCAAATTCTCCAGCCGTCAACCACCTTGCGAAAGCGCCACAGGGATGTTCGTCTCCGCGACGATTCATTTGTTACGCCGACGAGGCTTGGCCAGTGAACAGAGGCCATTGGAAAGCGAGGTGGGCAGAGCCTCGCTTCTCTCCACGAGAAAGGCCGCCGCGTTTCTTTTCCTTTTTTAAATCGTTTATATTAAGTTCGCTTGCTTGCTTGCGTGCTTGCTTGCTTGCTTACAACCGTGCAAATCTTTCGGTCGTTTTTTAACCCACTTCCCGTGATCCAATCGAGCTGACATTTTGCACACAGACTCGTTGTGCGGGACAATTAATGTTCGTGAAAATTTTTTTCCAAAATTTTACACTGTTTAGGGAAAACAAATTAAATATGTAATTACCAATTGCTTAATACTGGCAGACAATCATCTGACCCATAGGTGGCAGCCATCTCAAGCCAGAGGACGAGAGGACTCTAGCCGCCACACATATAAAGGATTTAGAGTGAAAAACTTTGTTTTTACGGGTTATACTTATTTACGTTGGCGACTTAAGTGCGTGTGAGACTACATCGACTTGCACGCATATTTTTGTTTTGCTTATCTGGCCAGCGTGGAAGAGTAGGCCAAGATTATCTCTAGAACTCCCTCCTCGTGGAGCGCAGTGCCTTCTGCGGGCAGTGGCTCGATCAAGCAATTCCAGGGCTGCGCCTTAACCACACATGGACTAGAACGTGTCGGTACCCCTTGAGGTGGCATTCGTTTCGTGATTAAAATGTTTTGTTAAATTATTTACGAGGTCAACAACAGTGAATTATGTTATAGACACTTGAAACGAGTGGAGTTATCAAGTACTGTAATCCACTATTATTAGCCACGTACATAAATTGGCAAGTGATACACATTTCTGCTCTGGCCCATGGGCTCAATTCGTGGCAATGCAGACCAGCCCAGATTAAGTTTGCTGATAATTCTGGGTCATAACAACAACAACAACAACAAAAAGTGTTGCTTACTTATGGTTACATCCACACGAAATCCATATATAACATTCGCCTAAAAATATATATACTATTACATTTCAAATAAACATTACTTTAAATATGTGAAACAGCCCACAATAGTTGGTATACAGTACACACTGCACATTAAGGAGCACAAAACTAGACCATCTAGAAAAATGACCAATCAGCATTGACCAAATTAACTGCCTAACAATTTAATAAGAACAGCACATCAAAGATATTTGATCAAAATAAAGTTTCCCATTTAAGAAGAAGGAAAAATCTGCTTCAAAAAATACATTTTACAGACTTAATCTGAGGTCACATAACCTGCTTTCATATAATGAACCCACCCCCTACAATCTTTGCTGGAATGGTTTCTCCACCCACATCCAGATTCAATTTGCAGAGACGCTGGCATACAGCCACTCGCATGGGGTTGCCACTGCTGTGGTACAACAACAACAACAAAAACCATAGAAACACATCACAGGGATAACAATAAATCATCTCACAATACCGGAGAAAGGAAGAACCACATGTAAAGGCGTCGTCTTGAGTGGAGCGTTGTTATGCAACTGGCAAAAAGGAAAAACATGGATTTTTAATCTCCTAGAAAGACTTACAGATTTCCCAGGATCAGCTGCCTCAAGAAGGACGGTCCTGGTGAGACCAGGACAGGTGGCAACACGACCACTACCTTCTTAAATTTCGATTTAAAGCTTTCGTGACTGCAGGGATTCATTTTCTTGGTTCTTTCGGTAAAGTCACACCTGAGGACAGCTGCTTGCGTTGTGGCCGAAACGTCTTGAGAATTATTTTATTATGTTTTATTTTTATTATTTTATTTCCATTCTACGTGACTTTACCGAAAGAACCAAGAAGACACTACCGTCTTCTTCACCAGCCACACCACAGCCTCAGGTAAACTTCCACAAGGGCAACCGACTCTGTGGGCTGATATCCATCCGAGCCATGTGGCTTTGCCGATTTACTGATTTGGTTGTGCACAAGTGGGTCGTGGTATCCATTGCTGAATTTCAGCTGCAACAGTCCGGAATGCTGCTCCAGCAATAATTTAATTAGATTCAAAATATGTATTTATATTGGATCCAATGAGCTATCAAGCTGTTTTTCACAGATGTCCAGTAGGACATTATTATCCATCTTGCTTAATTTGGTGGAGTGATGCAGCGGGTTGTGCATGAATAGTGCTTAGGGTTACCAGCTGTCCTAAAGGACAGTACAGTTGTTCGCAATAAAGAGTACAGTCTTTTAGGATTATTAGAGATAGGGTGTACCTGGTACTTTGGGTGGCAGTGCCTTACACAAAATCCCTAATCCAAGCCGGCTCCAAACGGGCCTCGCAGCAAGCCGGATAATATTGAGTGAGAAATTAAGCCCTGGTGGTATCCATGCAAGTCACTGGCTCTCCACATCTTCTCGTGACTCAGTGATACACAGATGAAGAAGGCCGCATAGCACTGTCTTTTTTTTTTCTTGTGCACAGCCAAAAGGCCCACGATTGCATGGGGTTGGCATGTAGCTCCCACTAAACCATAACACTCTTACAGAGCTCACGTCGGCCACCGACCAGTCGATGGAATATATTCCCAGATGAAAAAAAATATGGATTTTTTAAAAACCAAATTGCCATCCTGATCTCGTGCAGATAATGTGTACGCACGAAACACGATTTCCGTTGCTGCGCGCAGCACAGCTGTTGCCACAAAAGTCGCGTGCCTGCGATATCCAGAGTTCAATGCATGCCTTGAACCGCAGAGGCCACATTCACAGTGGCTGGTTGTTAGCAGCTGGGCACACGTTGAGCACAGTGATGTGCGCATTTGGGCAAGCCAGCACGTTGAGGTTCTGGCCCATTTTCACGATCCCATGATCAGCGTGAGTTAGGGCACGATATGGTGCGCACATAATCTAGGGGTCTAAGCGGTGTGCTGGAGACTGAGAGCCCGCTTGATGTATATCCTACAACTAACCCAACCTTGTCAGACTTGTTTTTTGGTTATCTGATTTAGGCAGCTATCGATGAGAAGCACCTGACGCCATCAAAATAATGGCACCATATCGTGGTGTTTAACGAAGCGTTGAATGGATGTGAACAATGGCTGCCCTGTTGTTGTTGTTGTTTGGGGGGGGGGGGCGTGGGTAGGCTTTTAATGTGACGCTCAAGTCCACTACAAAATCACGGTCACAGCTGATGCTACCGTGTTCGGTCGATCCCCTTTCAAAAACAACAACAACAACGGTTTGTCCAGCTGATTCCCCCCAGTTAAATCTCCGACGCGCCGTGCACCATCGGGTGTGTGTCGTCGTCCAGTTCAAACTCACATTTTTTTTGGGGGGGGGGGGGATGGGCAATGCTAAAAGATGGTGATGGTGGTTGCATAGCCGTCGGGGTAGCAATGCCGTTTCCGCGCAGTCTGGGGAGCTTTCTGATACCGAGAAGCGAGGGCCCTCACTTGGCAGGCAGCCCGTACAATGCGTGTTGCTCGCGACATTCCGGGTGAACGGTAGTTATTGAGTGTGGCGCGGCATTAACCTTCACGTATAGAATCTGCAGCGTGGCATAGGCACGGGCTAATGGATGGCATTTAAGGGCGATTGTGTTTTGGAAGAGTCATCGTGTAGTGAGAGCAAATGGCATGTCTAGAAATTATGAACAGACTAGTAAGCACATTTTAGACTTTTTGTTTATTGAGTCAACTTTTTAAAGTTTGGTTGATTAAAATCATATCTTTATTCCTTTTTTTTAAAGGGTGGGAACAGCAAACAAAAAGTCTGAAAAAAATAATTCATTTTTGTAGATGTATCCCATCATAATCTATGTAAAAGTACAGTGTCCATTTACACAAAAGTAAAACAACAGTTACGTAGGCAATCGGGGGGAGGGAGGGGGGGTATACGACGTCACCTATAATAAGTGTGTTAATTGTACACTGGGACACTACGGCTATGCAGCAATGCTTATTTTGGGAATTCATGAAAAACATCACAAAGCGAACCACTCTGTTGTGTACAACTGCCAGTAAATAGAAGCCTCCTCGTCCGTACCTTGCACCATTGGGCAGGCTTGCTTGGCACATGACATTGATCAAAGTTATGCACTCATGATGCCCTCTCCTCCTGGTCTAAGCTGAGAAATGTGATCGTATGCAACACATAATTTAAAATGAGTCGCAAACACCCACTATCCCAAAGAAGAGAAGCAGCTATTAGCGAAATGTTTTTTTTTGTTTTAATGTGTACCATCCGCCGACTTATCACACGAAGCTATTGACAGTCACAGCTTGAACGATGCCTATTTACCGCAGGATGAAGTTTAATACAGTATATATCACACAGAGAGCACATCTTGAGTCCAAAAGGTCACCACAAGTTGTGAAATAGAAAAAAATTCAGTACCGATGGACGGGTTGTTTTTTTCTGTTCTTCTTCTTCTTAACATGTGATGTCCATCTGTCCATTGGGAGCGATAATCCTGTAAGACATCTCCACGATTCCCTGCCGTTGCGATACAGTGTGTTTTTCACTGAAAAACAATATAATAGGTAGTGGGCATCCCTATAGAGGGACGCTCTTGTCTATACAATCTGCTCATTAGGACACAAAAATACTGTTAACTCAGTAATGTCTTCCTTTTGATGGATAGTACTTCAGCCAAGTGCTTACGCGTTTTCTCGTACTGTGTCCATTACCTTAATTTAGAAATGAGATTGTCATCGACCAAGACAAACAACAAACAACAAAATAGAGGAAATAAATAGGCTCCTCGCCATGAAACAAATGTTAATGGAAATGTCTAGCTCCATTTGAATTAGGTTCTTCTTTGGTCTACACACATACTGTAAATATGTAACTCGTAAAACGTGGATGGTGGCGTGAAAAATGGAGGTGAAAGTGCAGCCCTGCAATTTCTTCAGTCGCACCAAAGCGCTGGCAAAACAGCACCCCCACCGGAGGGAGCTCTGGAGAGCCCCTTGGCCTACTCTTCCTACGCCGGCCGCATATCTTGGAAGAGGTGGGGGGGGGGGGAGGTCACCCACAATTTTACCTCCCCCCCCCCCCCCGCTAACATGTGACCTGCCACTGACTGTGGTGGTGCACCCACAATTTATGCTGGCTGGGTGGACAGCAGAGGCCAGGGGTCATTGTAGAAACCTGCCCCCCCCCCGCCCCACACACACATTGATTCCTCTCTGCTGTGCCGGGAGATCGAACTGGCAACCTCTTGTGTCTTTTGTGTACGTGTGTGTGTGGATGTGGCATGAAATGGAACGTGATAAAAAAAAAGAACAAGGAAGCAGCTTCCTTCGGTACCGTTAGCTGCTCCAGGCTCCTTTGACACCAAAACTTAGTTGATGTTTATTGGTTTCCACCTCATATATAATAGTACATTGACACTGGGGGCAAGGGAATGTGGTTCTTTATTCCTCCTCCCTTTCAAGAATTTCAGATTCGTCTCCTTGCTGTCTTAGAGCACTGACTGCAGTAGTCATTTCCGATGACACAGACCCGACTTGTTCGATTCACGGCAATTTTGGACACGCAAATCAGCAGTGTCCATAACGAGTGATGAGCGCAGTGTGAACGCTACTTTCTGTCTTGTGCTGCCCGTGAAAAAGATCCAATCAAGTTCGCCCCTTCTCCTTTTGTTATGATGATTGCTCCCCCACCCCCGACCACGTATATATTCTTTATTACAGTGTTGTTATTATTATTTTTATCATTGTTGTGCCTCAACCCACAGGGTGTCACAAATATATCCACATTCTTGTGCGTGTGGCATCCTCAACCCTTTCTGGGAAACGTTCCGTAAAACATCAGCCAATCGCCCCGGTGGTGATGCACCCCCATTGCTGGCCACGTGGCTTTCTCTCTCTCGCTCTCGCTCGCTCGCTCGGCTGCTGGGTCCAGCGCACAGGTAACCTGCCGCGGCTCTTCAGGAAGCAGAGTCCCTTAGAAGCTGTTCGATCTCGGCCACGACCTGCGTGGCGTCCAGACCCTCCCCTCGCGTGCCGTGCCTTTCCCGGCTGGCCAGCATGGCAGGCTCGGCGTCGGCCTCTTCCAGTTCGGCGCACGAGGGCTCCGGTATAGGAGCGAGCCGCCTGGCGGAGAAGGGCAGGCTCGTCGGGGCGAGGTGAGCGTTGTTCAGCGGCGTCGGCGCGACATTGTTGGGTACCGACGGGCCGGCGCACTCTTGGCACGGTATCGAGGCGCTGCCGTCGCTGTCGTCGCTGGGCGTCGTCGTCGACTTGCCGTTGTTGTTGCCGTTGTTGCCGTTGTGGTCGGCGTTCGGGTGCCGCGGGGGGCTCTTTGCGGCGGCGCCGGCGGCGTACGGAGCGGCGCCCAGACGCAGCGTGTTTGGACGCGACCCCGGCACCGGCGGCCGCTCGGCGGACGAGCCGGAGGCGTTCGCGGCGGGGCCGGTGAAGGCGAGGTAAGGCCGAGAGGTGGCGCCGGGGCTCGGGGTGGGCGCCCCGTCCGAGTCGTCCTTGCCGAACGTGGAGAACGTGCGCCGGGGGAAGTCGCGGTGGGGGCCGCCCGCCGGGGCGTCGCCCGTCGCCACGGCCACGTAGACCCCCTCATGGCACGCGCCGCCGCCGGGCCTGCCCTCGGCTCCGTTGAAGGCGGGCATCCAGCACCGGTCCGAGTGGCCCAGAACCTTGCACTCGGGAGTGCAGTTGGAGTGGACGTCGCCGTCACCTGCAAGAGATTGCGACGTCTTCACTGCCACGCTCTATTGCCCGAGTCGTCATCGTCGTGAGCCACGGCCAATCCACTGCTGCGTGAACGCCTCCCCAAGCCGCCGCTGCCACCGCCTTTTCAGTACGTGCGTACGTACGTTGAACTTCTGTCACACCGTACGTAGCTAACCGTGCCAATTGGAGGATTCTCAAAATCCTGCGATGTAATGATTGCAACAGGGATGATTTCGTCGCTCCATCTCTGCTCTCGGATGAACTTCCATACTTTGACCACCACGACTCCACCGTTATTCTTGACCATCGGCCTACGTTCTCCTACGAGCAAAGTGTCCTGCCCAAGCCCGCTTAACTTTCTTAACAGGTTTGAATTGCGTCATTATCCTCGTGTTTATTTTCCTAGTCGCTATTGTCGCACTTGCTGTTTCTCGGCGTAGATGCGTGGCAGAGATGCGTGCTTGATGGCACGTTTCCCGAGTTTGCATTGTTCCATCTTAGTCCTGACACCCGAGTTGTAATTTCCCCTCAAAATACAGCCTCCAGTTCTCTCTATTGTTTGCTGAAGTTTTCTTCACGCATAACATTCACCCTCATTGTAGTTACCTCTCCCCATTCGCCAATAGTTGCCATTGTGTGAAGGAATGTGCAACGAATACCAAGGTGTTTCACAACAACAGTAACAAGATTATTCTTACAGAATTCACCAATATTCTGAACGGTGAAAGAAAAAAAATGTCAAAAGGGTTTTTTTGCACGGGCAACTGAAATAGACAGCGTCCATGACATGGGTCCTGCAATATTGGTCTTTTTAACGTGTGATTCTTTTTTGTTCTCTCTCGTGTTTTTAGCTTGCTTGGCTCAATTCTACATTCATTTTCAGCTGGATAATCTAGATTAGATACCATACACACATATATATGAAAAAGCCACTCGGCAATAAATAGCGCGGCATATAATTAATGCATTAAATAATAATGCTTTATGTGCGGCTTTGCATGCATTAGCACGCTTCGAGCAATGCGATTAAAACATTCTGCTCGTCCCAGAGATGTAATGAAAATTTCCACTTTTTATGCGTATCACAAGGGTTGTGCGGGGAGAGAGCGAGAGGGGAGAGAGCGAGAGCCTTCGCCTGGGCCTCCTCGCATCTTCGAATGGCATCAAAGCTTGGCACGAATCTCTTAGCGCTGCGAAAACGCATTATGGACCCTCCACGCTCCGCTGCCCTTGCGCCAGCGATCAAATAGATGCATGAAAATATACAAGCGCAATTCCGTTTATCTGCGCAGATTTTACGGAAGGGGGGGGGGGAGGGTGTGGGTCGCCCTGGCGAGCATTGTTCTTCTGAGCGACGAACCGGACGGCACCCCCCCCCCCCCCCCACCGCGCGCTCGCCGCGCCAGTACCTTGCTCTTCCCGAGGCCCGGCTGCGGCGGCGGCGCCGTCGTCGGTACAGCCGCGCTGTGGCTGCAGCGGGACGGTCTCCTTGGCCGCCACCTCGCTGTAGGAGCCTCGCGTCGTGTCCTGGTCGCTGTCCCCCGGGTCGCTGTCCCCATGCCCGCTGTCCTTGAAGCTGAGCCGGTCCGCCTCCTTGCACGACAGGCTGCTGGCCAGGGAAAAGGGGGGCAGGCGGTGGGGGGGGGACACTCTGGGTCTGATGGGCGCCGCTGCAAGCTTACAAAGAGGTTGAGTGTCCGAGCACGTGCAGAGATTTCTGGAGCGAGTCCCAAATCCTTCCAAAACGCTGTCATGTGCCGTATTAGGAGAGAGTTGTCTATGAGGTAAAGGATATTTTAAGACCTTACGGCTGAGTTTTTTTTTATTTTCTCAAAACAAAAAAAATGCCGTACATTCTTTTGATGTGAATAGACACACACTCCACATTGTGCCAACATGGCTCCGGATAACAACGAGCCAAGGCCGAAACAGTGAGCTTTAAACTTTCAAACTGAAGGCGATAGTCGCCAGCGTTTATTTTTCAGATTGATAGGCATGGGAATTTTTTTTTATGTTGGATTTCCCACACTCGGCATTTAATTGAACGTTTGTCGCATTCCAACTGTTTAGCATTTGGCAGGAAATATGGCCACCTGAAAACACGGGATTCTGCCAAGCCACAATACCGCCTTCCCATTGCTCCTCTCCCGTGGTGTTGTTATGGATATTAGCTTCGTCTGCAAATTACCAGCGCAAAACGGAACTTAATTTGGAGGCAAGGTGCTGAAAATATTACGGGTATCGCGTGCGTGACGTGTTAAACGCTCACCTTCTAGACGACTGCTGCTGCTGCTGTTGCTGCTGCTGCTGTCGATTGAAATGGTTGTTGGGCTCCAAGAAAAAGCGAGACCTCTGCAAAAGAGCAATGGGGCATGCCATCGTCATTCACACACTTCGAATTCACGATCGCGTATGGGCAGACGCTGCATATGTGCACGTGAAATTTGTTAGTTTTGTATATCGCCACTGCATGCCATTTCCTTCACTTCCATTCTCACCACGGAAGATTGCAACATTCACCATTTTGTTTAGTAACAGGAGCAATCCGTACGAAGCAGGGTTATTGTGCCAACGTTAGCGCCCGACGTCTGTCCACGAATAGGAACGCAGACTCTGAACCCCTTGTCGAGAGAGCGCAAGCTCGCACGTTTGAAAACGAGTCCTCGCCGGGATCACGTGATTCCTGTTTTTTTTAAACGTACATGAAGCTCGCCAAAAGGAGCGCTCGGATCTCAGCAAGCGTAATGATGGCAATCCGTATTCTTCGAATGTGCCTCCTCATTATATCCGCTTCTGAGTCTCTTAAACATCTGCCACCAGCAGATCCCACAGACTCCTGGGTCCCCCCTCCCCCTGTCGTGTTGCTCAACCCTCGCCAGTCCGAGCGGCAAATGCGATCAACATATGCCCGCTGATTGACGCACTCTGCACTTGGTTCCCTTGGGGACGTTGGTTTGCGTAGAGGTCGAACCATGAACCCACCACCCCCCCCCCCCCTCCCGGTATTGTACCTCCCCTATTCAGTTGCTTCACATTATAATTGCTAACCGGAGCAAAACGCATGGAGATGAAATTTGAGCAAAGTCAATCAGTCATACACAATGCGCCTATATTTGATACTTGATTGCAATTTAATTACGCGGACAGTCTACGGAGATATGTATGGAACAAAAATTAATTATTTCCCCCTCCCCGTGCACGCTGCATTGTGCGTAACGCACACTTGGTGGAGGGGGGGGGGGGGATGATGAATCGTGATGGATGATTGATTTTCGATATTTATGAAGTCATTGCCGGGGCAGTCGCGGAGGGAGAATTCAGCGGAGAGTACTTCGCGGGCCTCCGCGGGCCGCGCGGTAATTTAAAAAATGGGGCCGTCTCGCATCGTTCACCTGTGCGGCGGGCTGCGTGAAGCCGCCTAGCAGCAGGTCAGGCTGGCCAGACACACCGTTGAGAGCGTGGCACGGCAGGGGCTTGCGAGGCGCTGGCGCCGCCGACGAGCCGTAGGCGGGCGCGGGCGCCTTGCGGTACACGGCGGCGTCGTCCCCGCGCGCGTCCCCGGAGCCGCGTGTGCCGCCCGCCGCCTCCGAGGGCAGGAACGACTGGTACTCGTAGGTGTGCAGCGCGATGACAGACGCCAGGTCGGCGTCGGAGCCCGCCTTGCTGCAGGCGGCGGCCTCCAGCTCGTTGCGCACCAGCGTCACGTCGTTCTTGCGCGGGCTCGGCTGCGCGCTGGACTCGGCGGCCGCGCGGCAGTTGTAGGTGCGCATCTCCTTGTTCTCCCGCTTGCAGCGCAGCGCGATCATCACCATGGCCACGAGCAGGACGCACGACACGGCGCCCAGCGCCACGATCACGATGAACGACGTCGTGAAGGCGCCGTCCGCCCCGCCGGCGCCGCCCCCGCCATTGCCGCCGACGTCGTCGCCGGAGCTGCCCAGGAGCCGGCCCTCGGGACGCGCGTCCGTGACGAGCACGCGCACCGTGGCCGTGGCGGTGAAGGCCGGCTCGCCCCCGTCGCGCACGGCGATGGCCAGCTCGTGCCGCGCGTGCTCGTAGGGCAGCGCCCGCGCCGTGCGCACGTCCCCGTTGGAGGCGTCGATCCGGAAGAGGCCACGGTCGTTGCCGCGCGCGATCGAGTAGCTCAGCCGGGCATTCTCGTTGCCGTCCCCGCCGTCGTCCACGTCGCCGCCGCCGGCGCCGTCGTCGTCGGACGCGCGCACCTGCGTGACGAGCGTCCCGGCGCGGGCGCCCGGCGCCACGTACACGTCGGCCGTGCCGTTGGCGTCGAGCGGCGGCGCGACGACAACCGGCGCGTTGTCGTTGACGTCGCCGATGACGAGCGCGACGGCCGCCTCGCCGCGCAGAGGCGGCGCGCCGTTGTCGCGCGCCTGCACGCGGAACTCGAGCCGGCGCGCGTGCTCGTGGTCGAAGGCACGCAGGGCGTAGAGGGCGCCGCTCGCCGGGTTGATGGACACGTAGGTGAACACCGACATGCCGTCGATCTGCGAGTCCACGATGGAATAGGCCACCTGCGCGTTCTGCTGCGCGTCCGAGTCGCTGGCGCTCACCGAGCCGATGTAGGCGCCGGGGATGTTGTTCTCGGGCACGTGCAGCTCGTAGGCGGAGCGGGAGAAGCGCGGCGCGTTGTCATTCTCGTCCGTGACGCGCACCGTGAACGTCTTGACCGACACGAGCGGCGGCACGCCGTTGTCCCGCGCCACCACCGTCAGGTTGTACTCGGCGGCCGCCTCGCGGTCCAGCTGCGTCGCCGTCACCAGCGTGTAGTCCTCGCCCCCGTCCGAGGCGCGCAGGGCGAACGGCAGCGCCGCGCCGGGCCCCACGGCCGACGCGCCCTCGAGCGTGCAACTCACGCGCCCGTTGGCGCCCGAGTCGCGGTCCTTCACGCGGACGAAGGCCACGAAGGCGCCGGGCGGGACCCCCTCGGACACGCCGATGACGGCCGCGCCGCCCGTGCCGCCGCCGCTGCTGCCGCTGCCGCCCTGGCCGAGGATGAGCACCTGCACGTCGGGCGCGTTGTCGTTCACATCGAGGATGCGCACGAGCACCTCGCCGTGCACGGGGATGGAGTTGGGCCCCCGGTCGCGCGCCTGCACGTAGATCTCGTAGGCGTTGGCCTCCTCGTAGTCGAGGGCGCCCTTGAGCGTGACGCGGCCCGAGCGCGAGTCCACCGCGAAGAGGTCACGCACGCGTGGCGCCACGTGCGCCCCCAGCGCGTACACCACCTCCCCGTTGGCGCCCTCGTCCGGGTCCGACGCGTTGAGCTGCACGACGGGCGTGCCCACGGGCGCGTTCTCGGGCACGCGCGCCTGGTACACGGGCCGGTCGAACGTGGGCGCGTTGTCGTTGGAGTCGAGGACGCGCACGGTCAGCAGGGTGGTGCCGGTCAGCGGCGGGTGGCCTCCGTCGAGCGCTGTGAGCACGTACGTGTGCACGGCCTGGCGCTCGCGGTCCAGCGCGCGGCGCACCACCAGCACGGGCGCGCGGGCGCCGCCGCCGCCCGCCGGCTGCACGTCGAGGGCGAAGGCGCCGTCGTCGGGCTCCATCGCGTAGCGCCGCAGCGCGTTGGCGCCTGCGTCCGGGTCGTGGGCGCCCTCCAGCAGGAACCGCGTGCCGGCCGCGGCGCTCTCGGTGATCTCGAGGAGGGCGCTCTCGGCCGGGAAGCGCGGCGCGTGGTCGTTGACGTCCAGCACGTCGACGTGGACGCGTGCCAGCTCCATGGGCCGGTCCAGGACGGCCTCGAGCAGGAGGGCGCAGCCCGAGTCGCCGGCCACCCGGGGGCACACGGCCTCGCGGTCGAGGCGCCCGCGCACCCGCACCTCGCCGCTGTCGGCGCTCACGACGAGGTAGTCGGAGGCGTTGGTGCCCTGCAGCGCTCGGAATCCGCGCGCGTGCAGTTGCGCGGCGGTGAGGCCCAGGTCGCGGGCCAGGTTCCCCACGAGCGTCCCCGGCGGCTCCTCTTCGCGGACTGAGTAGCGCAGGGCCGACGAGTGGGCGGAGGCCTGGGCGGTGGCGGCGGCGGCGGCGGCGGCCGTGACGGCGCAGCGCAGGCAGCACAGGCAGAGGAGGGCGGCGAGGAGAGGATCCATTTCCCCGGGGCAGGGCGCGCCGGGGCACGACGCGCGGTGAAGATCGACCGCCGAGCTGCGTGCGTGGACAGCGCCGGCTGAGGAATCAGAATTGCGGGGAGATAAAGGGGGAGGGTCGGGCAGGAACACGGAATGATTAATGATGACAAAAACAGGTTATGGGGAAATAGGTTTTGGGGGGAAAAAACCCTGTGAATTGTGCTTTTTAATGCCGATATTTTCAGTTGTGGAAAATAAAATTGCGATGTGAAAATGTAAAAATGAATAATGCATAATCAATAGCTATTACCAGAATGAATGGGGGTGCTAATTTTTTCTTTCACTGTCCGAAACATTGCGTGCCATTCACACGATTCGAAGGTCGCAAACCACAGGGTGCAATCTGCGACCGCGTTTGTGCGACACCTCGCCGCAGCCGCCGCGAGAGGCCCCCTCCAATCAGGGGCGCATTGTTCGGCAACTTGTACCGTCGGTGAGCACAGCCGAATCTCCCGTATACTCTCCGAGGAGCCGCTCTCTGTTCACTTCTGTGGGCTCTCGACGAAGTCAAACGGTGCAGCATTGGTGGCGGGCGCGCGGTCACATGTGGTCATGCCACGTACGCATCGCCGGAATACGCCAACGTTTTACGCTCCGAGCTAATGCGGAGCATCGTTAAATGTTGCCCCCACCATACCGAATACGGTCGTGGTTGTTCCAAGCAAAGTGACAAGCGTGGGGGATATTTAGGTCAACGTATGCGCGTTGACAAGGCCGTTGGGTTTTCTTCCCATCGTGCCCTACTCATAAGTACGTCAGACTCCCCTCCTGCTTGTCGTGGCCAAAGCCATTGTTACACTTAAGCAGCGTGAACAAAAACAACAACAAAAAACATCGGCCCAAATTTCCATTCATTGCGAGAGTGGAGGAATGGAAATGGTGGAATGGAGCGGTCGTGCATCGCACGTAGCATGAACGCTCCTCGGCATACACTCTCACACTCGGGGGGAGGGGGGGGCAACATGGGCCAGAGACACGGTGGCCGACACAACATTCATCGTCGAAATATCTGTTTTGTAAACGGGCTCATGTATCAGATTACGCGTGTCCGGTATCACTACGTCAGCAGAATAGGAAGCATGAAAAACAAACAGTGGATAGATAAAAGCCATATTGAGCTACATACTTATTAGTGTACCCCTTGCAGCAACAATCTAGTTAATTGCTCTAATATATATATCAGGCTGCAGGTAATTGACAATTACTGACATTTACATCAGGCTGTAGCCATGGCAGCCATTTGTACTGCTTTACACACCAGACGTCGGTATAACAGGCCATCATTGAAGTTAGTACCCCTAGAATTACCCAACACTTAAAACACGCTGCAACGTCGCATATCTGCTCGCTGGGGACTTAATGTATATATGTGGATGAGGTGAAGAGTTCAGATATGCAAACATCTATTTAAAGTCACATTTACACTGTGCACAACGCACCGCTGCTGAGTGTGGGCGGATATGCGACGTTGTACTGAACTGAAAACGTGTATAAAGTGGCAACACGGTGCGGCGGTGGTCATAACGCTGCCAATGGACAGACTGCAGCCCGTTGGAACACTAGTACACTAATCATTATCCACAGGCTCGCTGACAGGTGTTGTCGGGTTTTGCAAGATAGGCTGTAAATGCGAAATCAATGGCAGAAATATTTGATCCCAACAGCGACCCGTGCACTTCCGTGCGCGTGATGAAGCTACGGGACGGCCCACTCCTCTGGTTTTTTATTCGAAATCGCATCTTCGTACGGGGCGCAGCGTCTCTGTCGGTCTCTGCAATAAAGCGCTCTCGTTCGGTCCAAGAAACAATAACCATAAACAAGGAGGGGAGGATGGGCCTGGCGCAATCATTAAACTGCGAGGACAAAAAAAAAGCCAACCGTGAAATTAACAGTATCTTAGCCACCACCTGGACGCTAATTAAACTCAGTGCATGTCGGAAACAGAAGTAATAAGGCTATGCCACCAATAGGCAGCGCCGTGCTGTTCTAGAGTACACCTCAAGAAGACCCAACAACATCTATATGAACGGAAATAACAAATGATCGCAAAAGCATGCGCCCGAAAAGCGCACGAGGCTTACGTATGGGCTGAGGCATTTGGAGCGCAAGGTTCCCCTTGCCGTAAGTTAAATAGTTGTGTAAACGCGTGTTCGTGGGAATAGCGCTGTGCCAAGTCCCCATAGGGCGTCACGACGTGCAGTGTGCTACAACCACGCGCGCGCTACACAGAGTGCCGAATAAAATACTCGGGCGCGCTAATCCGGCAGCGAGATTGCTGGCTTGGCTCACTGAGCAGCAGGCAGCGGATTCGCCCTTTTACCATAGCCGAGGGTGGCTGGTATCCGTCGGGTAATTTTTTTCTTTTTGGCAGGAGTAGCAAACAACCCAAAAAAAGTGTGAAATTATCCCGACTGGAAATCAGACCAACGGAATCAATTTTCATGATAGATGTAATCCTGGCCTTATCAATAATAGAGCACCACACATTCCTTTTATTGCGTCTCGGACTCCCTTTCGCATTTCATCTCAGGGTTCCTTTCCATTTCGTTCCTCGTGCCTCATTCATTGCTGGCATTTAAGATGCGAATAGAAAGTAAACGAAACGCTCGCTTTTGTGTCGACGCCGTCCGCTCACCGGGGTTCGTTCGTCTTAACATCCCAGGACCACACGCAATATTGGCATGCTTCGCTGAATTCTCAAATGTGTTGATAAGGCATCTGTGTTTTGTCGAGGCGTGTGGTCAGAATTCAAATGAAGACCTATGGAAAACCCACGCCCCCACCCCCACCTTCTCCCCCCCCCCCCCCTCCGCTCCTCAGTCCCCAATGACTTTTAATAAGGCGTCTTATTGTCGCAAGAGGCAGTGTCCTTTATCATGTTCATATCCGACAATGCCGAGTGGATAAGACATCTGGACGAGATAAAGTTTGCTGTAAAGGCCGTGCGCACTGAGTAACACAGCGAGGCGTGTGTCCGGCTCCGTACACACATTGATTACATAATGAACACGTTTCGGAAGAACCTGAAATCAAAGTTGCTCCAGATGACGCGCTCGATCCTGATTTTTTTTGTAGTTTTGTAGCCAAATAAAAAAGGGGGAAAAGAACACAACGGGGGTCCGCGCTTGCTCAAAAAAATTAAATAGTCACGGCCATGATCGCTTTGTCTTCAAAAAAACAACAACAAGAACAAAGCCATGGAATTGGGTATAGTTTGTGAAAGAGCACGACGCCGCGCCGAGGAGAATGACAATGACAATTTCACGAGATAACAAAAAGGCGAGTGATGTAGCCTCACGGATTGTCCGGGCGCCGTCATTGGCGCTCGGAGCGAGCCGGGCTGTGGGGTGGTGGTGGTGGGGGGGGGGCAGCGTCCTCAGTGGAGCGCAATGAAGCGACGGAGAGCGGCAGTGCGTCGTGTGCTTGCTACTGAACGCGCTATGACCAACGAATGAACAGAGGATGACATTACACCCCGTCCATTCGCATGGTTGGGATTTGCGTTGGCTCGCCAACGCAAAACCGGACACTCGGCACCGAAGCGAGCCGCGCACACAAACCCAGAAGACACCAAACACAACAAAAAGCCCCCCCCCCCCCCATGAAGCTATTTGGCATGCTGTTGGGACAAGTGCTTTTAACGAGCATCTACGAAGGCCGAGTACAACCAGCAACCATGCCCGGCCGCCTTTGTCTCCCTAAATTGTGAATCAATTTGGAATTAAATTATTTACAAAACCGCACCACCGGGTTGAGTCGACCTGGGGGGGAGTGGGGGGAGAATCCCAGCTCCGGTTCGCTGACAATCGCCACTGATCTCGTTACGCGGACACAAACTCGCAGCAGCAGGCACAGAATCTTACCCCGTTCTCAGCGGCGGCGCCGTGCACTTGGAGGACTCTGCTCCGCCGGCTCCTTGGGATGGCGGTGGCTTGAAGGGTTGTCGCGCGGGTCAAGGCGACGTCCTCGCTCTCGATGTTTATTCCTCCACGGCCCCTCGGGAGGGTGACTTACGGGCGAAACGCATCGTCTCACGCGAGCCCGGAGCCCGTGTCGGAACGGGAGCGCAGTGAAGGATGGTGAGTTTCTCTCCCTCTGGCACTCGCTCGCTCTCTCTCTCTATCTGCTTGCCTCTCACGCTCCCCCGTCGCGCACTCGCCCAGAGCGCACAACACTCGGTCCCGAATTAATTGCCAAGGGACCCCGCGCACGCGAGGCTTTGCGGGAAATTAATTACGATTAATAATATTCTTATTATTTTATCGCCGCTACGGGTATTGAATTGCCGTCTACTACCTGCACAGTTGCAGGCGGCGGCGGCGGCGGCGGTGGAGAATAATAATAATAAAAAACTATCAAGCAATGGGTAGTAATGAAGACAAACGAGAGAGAGAGAGAGAGTGGAGAGGAGAGTCCTGGGTGCTATCCCAAACGCGGCGGGTCTCGGTGTTTGGGAGCGCATTCGAATCCCGTAAGCGGGCGAGATGAGCGCTTTAGCTCAGGCGCAGCAGCCTATTGCGGTGAGACACACGCGCTCGGAGCCAATCACGTCTCTCTCCGCCCGTGCTTGTGGCCATCCCACCATTATCCATTCCTCTCCCTCTCCTCCTCCTCTCTCCTCTACAGCACCCCCACCCCAAACCCTCGCTACCCCTCCCTCACTCACTTCCCCACTCGCTCCCTCCGTCCCTTACTTGCCCCCCCACCCCCCATCGCACCCTCCTCCTTTCTCCCTCGCTACCATCTGTCACGGCTGGGGGAGAGAAACGACGGCGGGATTTGGATGAGTGATGAATGGGGAGGACGCGCCAGGCTTGCCACACGCTGTCGTGCGCGTGGAAGGGGCCGGCGTGCTTTGCTAAATACGCCGCTGTACGGCGCGGCGCTACAGGTCACCCTGGCGGAACGGGGCTCCCTGCACGCCACATGCCCGGAGACTCGCTGCGGAAATCCATCACTGAAGCCGCATTCTCACTGTAACCGGTTTCTCTCATCGCACACCTCCCCCACCCCACCCGAACTCCCTCCCCGCCTTCTCATCCGCGTCGTCATACCCTGCCGCGACGCATCTACGTATCTCTCGCGAAAGTTGCATCTGTAGAGGGGCCATTGCCTGAAACGTTAGCCTTGTAAGTGTTATAACCGCGGGGGGGTTCGCGGTTGGTGGTGTTGTTGTTGAGGCTCTCCGGTGGAGTTTAGAGTTGTGGCGCGTTGTTCGCCATTATTGTTATGTCCGACGTTTCCCGCCCACGTGCTTGCTCAAAAGCTTTTTTTTTCTACAAAAGAGCCTAACATCGGAAGGCCTGCTACAAGTGTGTTCGTGTATGTTACACAGTTCTTGGTGGATGGAAGAGGCGGTGCAGTGTTCTTAGCGAGGGGACTCAAGGCCATGAACATTTAAAGAAAACGTGTTGACACAGATGCCTTGCAGAAATAGAACATACAACTCTAACTCGTGTGCAGCTTTTCAGCGGCGGTAGCCTTCTAAAATCACCAATATTTTTTTTCTAACTCCCAAACTTGTAAAAAAAAACTATTTCAATTGAATAAAAAATACGGAAAACTCCAGCAATCTGACACGCGTCGAATTCGCCCCCAAAGTAACGTCTTCCCTTCTCGGTTGCTCGTCAAGTCGAAGTCGTTTTTGTGAAATAAGGGAGTGTTTGTGTCGAAAAACGTGACATTTAATTTGCTCGAGATCAACTTGAAGATAACTTAGCCCGCTACTCCTGCTCCTCCACCACCACCGCACAAACTCTGCGCGCGCGTCTGACACTACCACCACCACTAACATCGCACGACTCTTTTGTGTGTGTGTGAAGACGTCGAGCCGTCTTTCTCTACCCCCCCCCCCTGTCTCTTGTAATTACTGCCGGGCAAAACGTGCACCGGCAAAGAGTACAACTTGCTACGACCTCGACTCACGTGCGGGGAAGCGCATTATGTATTGATTTGCAGCTTTGCGAGAGCTTTAGCGCAACTGATTTTATTTTAATGAGGCGCTGTTGAGCTGCTCGTCGTATAGGATCTTTTTACCCCCCTCCATCTCCCTCCCCTCTCTCCCCCCTCTCTCTCCCCTCTCTCCCCTCTCTCCTCCCCCTCTCTCCCCCTCTCTCTCCCTCTCACTCTTCCCAACAGCTAAAGGCCCCGAAAGCGTGGCAAATCCCATTTGCCGGAGCGACGCTTTCGTGCTGTATTTACCGCCGTTGCGAAGCGCCGCATTTTTCATCCCGGAGTCGAGGCCACCGTCAATTGTACGGGCTTTCCTTTCTCTCTGCTGTGCGTGGGGCTGGAAGTGGGAGGGGTGGGGAGGGGAGCGGGGGAGGGAGACGGGTGGGGGGCAGCGAGAGACGTCGAGGAGTGGGGAGGGGTGTGGATGAGCAGGGAAGGTGGTGGAGGAGAGGAAGAGGCTCGGGGAGAGGCGCTGGGTCAGTGGAGGATGATGTGAAGGTGTAGGAGAGAGAGAGAGGAACCCGTGTCTTGCGTTCCGGTGATCCAGCCGGCGCCCAACGCGTTACAGAAGCAGCAGCGGCAGCAGTGGCAACGGGAAACACCTCGAGTGATCTCACAAGTGCTCCGTATTACAGTATATGTATAGACGGTAATATGTGCCGTGTGTGTGTGTAGAATATATATAGAGATATTCTGTTTATACAGTATATGCACAGCAGAACCTAGATTACCCTTAGCCCGTGCGCTTACGTATTAAATACAATATTTTAAAAAAAGCACACCAACTCGCAAACTCGCGCGGATCGATCGGAACTCGTGCTCATAGACATAAAGTCGGGATGGGGGAGGGAGGGGCCTTGGCAAGGCGAGCGATAAATATTTAATACCGCAATAAACGTCAACAATTCGCTCGCACTCCGCGTTGCAAGCTCTGCCAGGTTGGATGGAAATAGAAACTCTAATAGCCGAGGCGCCCTCCGCCGAGCCTATTTAAACCTGGTTAGAGCAGCTGCCCGCGCTGTGAACACGGGACGAGGGTTCGTTTGGAAGACCCCCACCACCACCACCACCTCCTCCACCCACCCCTCTTCCTCACCCCCACCACCACCCAGATCTTACTTCCCCGGCGTCCCGCAAGAGTGCCGACCGCATTGCAATACCGTGCATACACTGTTTCTGCATCTCATTCGCATTTTCAGTGGCGCGCGGTATGCATTATGCATTTATGCAAGCGCTACGCGTCCTGCCTCGAAATGAGTTCCGGAATTCTTTTCGCTCTCGTAAGAGGCGCGCAGCCCAGCCCAGCCCAGCCCAGCCCAGCCCAGCCAGAGCGTTCGGCGTCCGCGCAGAAAATGAGTGACAGCCCCGTGCCCAAGATTGATAGTTACCTGCGCAGATGGCGAATAGATTAAGCGCCGCTGTATAATTATAAGAGCCCGCGGAAAGCGGTCTTGCCAATGTCGTTACTTGTTACGCCCCTCCCAGGATGATCCAGTAAGTGGAATGCATGTTGACGCATCTCCGTTATTAAGTTTATGCGGGTTAATATCTGGCGCACGAAGCTCATATTGATAGGATGAGTGAAGGGGAATTTCTTTGGGCGCCGTGATGAAAATAATATAAATTATTGCATTTTTTTAAGCCTTTTTTTGGCCACGAGAGTAGGCTATGATGATGTGCAGCCTGCGAGATTGCTCCGCCAATAATAATGGCGCAAGGTCGTTGCGATTGACACGGACAGATAGGGTTTCCGCGTGTGCAATTAGTCTACTAATTATTTTTGTTGACTTCGAATGACGTCACTGAGCGAAATTGCATTGGTTATTTATATATATATTTGAAAGAAAGCCCGATATACGCCAGTCCTCAGTTTTCGTAGATCATATTTTGCAGTGATATTTATATACTGAGGATCACAATACAACACGATAGCACGAGCGAACCACGATAATGGTTTATGCAATTCCCTTTCAACGTGAGCGTTAAAGACACGACCACAGGCCACCGTGTGTATGTATAAGATATTGACCGCACACACGACGAGACTACATGCATCATCGGGCGCGTTTCACGGCCATTGACATCTTTAAAGCTTTTTTGACCGCATCGACCACTCATATGAGATAACAAAACAACTTGGAGGGGTGCGGGGGAGGGTGGAGGAGGGGGAACAGCCGTACGATACCACACACTTGTTGGCATCTCAGCTTTGTTCGGATAGACGTGTAACATTTGACACCCCTCCCTCCCTCCCTCACAAACCACACCCTGGCTCACCCCACTCGCCACCTCGCCATCCAACACGATTTTCTCAGCGCAACTTCTTACCATATGCCATCCGAGCGCCCGTGTAGATCGAGGGGCAATTTCTGCCGTTGAGCCGTACGGGACGAGGCCGTGGTGTCAACCGTTGCCACCTCTGCAAAGGTGGCAACATACGAGTCCTTTTGGTTTCCAACTTAGGGCTTGAGAAGATCAAATCTTGCAGGGAAAAAAAAACACCGCATGGTTTGCGCTCCTCCATATGGCCACACAGCTTTGGTTTATTTTTTTGTTGCAGGCGTCCAAGTCACTCCCGATCTTCCGAACATCTAATCCTTCAACTGTGCCCCTGGCACCTAAAGCCGCCCCATTTTAGAACAAATCTTTCGGTCCCCTTAATCGCGTGGTAATACTTTGCCCTTTCATCATCTCAGAACTCGTGAGCTGCGCGTTCTTTCATTACGGTGCCTTGGGTCGTGAGCTTTGACCATTTTTTTTTGCTGAATCCCAAGAATCTTAAGAATGCAGGATGTATTTCGCGAGACATGGATTTTGTGTTGATGGGTTTTGAGACCACGTGACCTCAAATGGCATTCTGTTACAAATCTCCTCGTTTGATACATGATCCTACCATTTTCTGTCACAAAGTCGACAAATAGATATATAAACATTTTTTTGTTTTTCCGGCAAAAATATACAAGCATTTTTTATGTGTTTATGCGTACATATGCACATAGAATTGCTAAGAATGTGTAGGTAGCCGTAAATGCCCAGTGTGTTTCTTGGAGGGCTATCTACGAGTGCCACGCCAGTGGCTAGCAGAAGAGGACATTGGAATTCTATACCCTTAATCTTTTTTTGCCTTAGTTTTTTTTTCACCATAGAGGCTTTGGGGTTCAATAGTATGTGATTCCAAGGATGAGTTTGATAGATCTGGCAAGACGCGCCGAGCCCTGGGTGGCCTACCTAGAAACCGTGGCGAATGCTTGACCAATGCATGGAATTGAATGTGCCCACCAAAGTCTATTCATATCTGCCTTAAGAAAAAAACATTGCTCCTACCTTGGTTCAACTGGATTAGAAATAACTGGATAGGTTTCAATTAAATCCCTGTGTTGTATCGATTTGCTTCATAATACCCTAGTGCAGATTACAGGTATTCTTCTTCCAAATCTTCACCGCACCTTTCCACCCTCGAGATAAATACATTCTTTTCCTTTGCATATACAACCCATTTTGTCAATCCACTGCTGGACGAGGGCCTCCGTGCACTGTGCGAGTTGTGGGAGCCATTTGACCATACTTCACCACGCCCGTCAGTGTGTGCATCGATGCGGGGTCGTAGGAAGTACAGTAC